GGGTGGGGCTGTTGGGATTTTTTCTCTCCATATTAATTCAACACATTGCTGTCATACTTTCTGGCTCTACCAAGTGATACTTGAACAAGGTTGTGGAATTTTTTCAGAGGTATTTATGCACTACAACGAAAGTTATGAGGGAATGTTCTTCAAATTAGATATACTCAAAATTGAATTGAAGGTAGTAAAATGCTTAAATCACAAATTAATTCCAAACATTCTGCAAAATGTCTAATAAATAGTGAAAACCATACCAATTGACCATCTTAGGTAGGATAAAAAAAACAATTTGCATAAATAATGTACTCACAATTTTTTTTTCATATTGACCCCTACCACACTATTGAAGAAGGGGTAGGATGATTGGGATTTTTTCTCTCCATATTAAATGTACACATCACTGTCATACTTTCAGACTCTCTCAAATGATATTTGAGCAAGGTTGACAACAAAAGTTATGAGGGAATATTCTGGAAATTAGATATATTCAAAATTGAATTGAGGGTAGTAAAATGCTTAAAATCACAAATTAATTCAAAATATCCTGCAAAATGCCTAATGAATGTTGTCTTCATTAATTAATTGACCATCTTGGGCATAGTTATGTGTAATTTTTTGGACATATATATATATATCTTTTATTGACTCAATAACCATGTCATGTAAATGACATATCAGTCACTATTAGTGTACAAAAAACCACTAACTACAACTACATATTACAAAACTACTTTACATCAGTTTCACATGTCAGGGTATGATATCAGTGTGGTGTATCCATAATACATGTGTTTTAAAAAAATGTTTACATAATATTAACCATTTTCCAAATTTTTAAAAGAGTGATATACAAATTTGGCTAAATGTAAGTTAACATGAGAGCTTTTACTAGACATAATAGTTTCAAACAGTTTATCTGGATCTTTGCACTGTTTCAGATCAGATTCTAAAGTTTCAAACAAAAGCTCTCTGTGTTTTAAGTTCTTTGTACAGCTTGTGATAAAGTGAAGCTCATCCTCAATTACCCCACATTCACTACACAACCTTTCACTTGTGGGTTTTGGCTTTGGTTTTGAGTACCGCCCAGCTTCTATCTGTAATTTATGTGAACTCATCCTGAGCCTAGTTAATGCATGTCTATAATTTTTATTTTGAATGTTTAAATATAATTCTTTGGTGAAAGTATTTTTGAATTTTATATAAGTTCTAAGAACAGGAAAAGTAAGAATATCCTGTTTCCATTGAAGTGCATAATTACTTTTTAATTTCTTTGTGATCATTTGAATAAATATATAATCCTCTTCAACATTTTGAGTCAACCAATGAGAGAATAAATCACATTGTTTTAATATGTCGATAACTTTACTGGACCAAGTGCCAGAGTAACCTAAACCATTCATTTCGAGGTCATACAAATATGATTATTGAGTATATTTTCTTCAGGTAAACGCAGCCAATATTTAATCAGCTTAATGTTGAAACAAATTTTTAAAGGATAACGTCCTAGCTCCCCATAAACAGCCGGTGTAGCTGTTGATTTTTTCACACCAAGCAAACATTTAAGGAATGATAAGTGTATTGCTTCTATAGCTTTTACATGCTTCTTACTATACCATATCTCAGAGGCATACATTAAAATTGGTTCAACCAAGCTATCAAAAAGATGCAGGGCGACGGAGATAGGAACATTGTTAAATTTTTTATACTGTTGCTTAATTTTAAAAAGGGCTTTCCTTGCCTGTTCTTGGAGATAACCTATGTGTTTATCAAAATTAATGTTATTATTAAATATGCAGCCCAAATATTTATAGTGGTTAACGCTTTCAATAATGTTGTCATTAAAAGTGAATTGCACATTGGATTTTGAATTAAAAATTATTGATTTCGTCTTTAATGTGTTAACAATAAGGTGATACCTCTTACAGAACTTAAATAAACAATTTAACATTTTTTGCGCTCCATCTTCAGTATTTGACAATAAAATTAAATCATCAGCCCAAAGTAAATGGTTTATCTTATCACCGTCAAATTGAAGTCCATACTCCTTCGATAAATAGTCTGACAAATCATCAAGAAAGTGGTTAAATAAATAAGTACTAAGGACAGAGCCCTGCATTACACCGGCATCTGTCTCAAAAGTAGGGGTGATACCATCTTTGAGTTTGAGGCAAGCTTTGGAAGAGTGCCAACAAAAATTTTTCTTTTCGCCCCCCCCCCCAAATAATTTGGGGGAGGGGGTCTACCCTCATTTTCTCTTGTTATACCCACCCTTCAACTTGCTCGGGCAGTTAAAATTTATTGCAATATAGTGTTGTTTCATCATACAAAGATTCATGATTTCTGCAGAACAACGAACAAAATGAAACTTTTGGACGACGAAGATCTTGTACTAAACATCTGCTCTAGACCAAGTTTTAGACGTTCACTGTGGACATTGTACACTACGACGGAGAACCACCAATGAGGTTGCTGCTCTCTGCCAGAACCCACAAATGATTCAAAAAGCTTTGTGTGACATGAAGAGATGAGCCAATATCTACTTGCAGAAAAATGATGGGCATGAAATGTAGTTCGCATGAGTAGTCATTCATAAGATAACAGAAAATGATACAAAATAATCAAATGGCAAATGTTTAACAATTCTATTTTATTTAATAATAAAATTATTACATGGCATACTACAGGGTGTTCAAAAATGCAACCCAAAGAAATCACTATATCTTTGAAAATACTAATCCAAATATGCTATGGATATACAGTGCGTATCAAAAACAGATTGTTATCTTGAAAAAGCACAAAACCAGTGAAAGCAGCACTGATTTCATTTAATGTACCATAAAGCCACTTGTCTTCTTTTTCCAATGGCATATCATTCGTTGATATCGGGTCATGGTTGGGCGAGTAATCCTTTTGCAAAGTGGGCGAAAATTAGCTTGGGACCAATTTATAAACATAGCGAAAGTCAGTCTACAAGGCCCAATGCAATATTGGAAGAAAACATAAAACCAATGATGACTGCATCCCTTTTCTTCAATGTACCAAAAAGCCAAATTACTCCTCTTTGCAATGGAATGTCATTCATTCACAGGGAGTCATGGCTGGCCGAATAATCATTAATTTCGCAAGTGGGCAAAATTCAGCTCGGACACAAGTTTTAAACAGTGCATGGGGCATAGGGGCTATTTGAAGAATGTGTGGCACGTGTGACATAGACAGTTAAGTGTTCATACTCATACTCTTGCAAGAATACATCCTATACCCCTCCAAATTGCCACCACTTCTTTGCAAATAAAGATGCGCTTCTCTCTCCATGTCATGCATGGGTCAGCTCTGAGTCATCTGTGGGTTAAGGCAAAGAAAAGCAGTCCATTGGCAATTCTTTCTCGAAATTTTGCAATATCGGTGGAGGAATAGTTAACACTCTGCTCCTGAAATAGCTTCAAAAGAAAAAGTCACAACAATTGAGGTCAGGAGAACTTCAACTAGCACTCAGCCCTTGCACTCACTTTTGCAATATTTGAAACTTGGTCCACTGAGCAAAATGAATGATTTTTCACCCAACCATATTAACTGCATATGAGTGAATGACATACCATTGCAAAGAGGAGTGACGTGGCTTTATGGTACATTGAATGACATTGATGTAGTAATCACTGGTTTTGTGATAACTGTTTGTTGCATTTTTTTATACTGTACATAGCACTTGGTCATCAGGTTTAACTCCTGACCTCAAGAGTTAACTAGAAAAAAGCAACTCCAAAGAGTAGCAGATCCCATAGAACAAAAAAAAATGAATCAAATCCGTCAACTGGTTTTTGAGCTATCAAAGATTATGTTTTTTTAAGAAAAGCAGCCATTTTGAAATTCAGGTGCAATCTTGGAAATTTCTTCTTGAGCAGAGCTCCTTTGTCCCTAGACATCAGCATACAATATTTGAGCCAAATCAGTCAACTGGTATTTGGGTTATCAAAGCTTACATGTTAATGGACAAATGGCAGCCATTTTGATAAAAAGCCACCATCTTGAAAATTCATGTTTGAGCAGAGCTCCTTCATCATCAGCATATAAAATTTAAACCAAAGTCGTATTTGAGTTTTCCTGTGTCCCTAGGTATCAGCATACAAAATTGATAAAATTCTTCATCAGGACAGCTCCTTTGTCCTTAGGCATCAGCATATTAACAAATCCGTCAACTAGTACTTGAGTTATCAAAGATTAAATTTTTAACAAAAATGGTGGCCATTTTGAATTGATCTGCAATGTTGAAAATATCTTCTCGAGTAGAGGTCCTACACCCATAAGGTATAATCCTGTAAAATTGCCACTAAAACCATCAACAGGTATTTGAGTTATCACCCAGACACATGAATGGACGGATGGACAAACCTGGTAGGGACAGAAAAATTCAAAGTAAATGCCTGACATATTACGCAATTTGCCTGAAAACTGCGAACAAACTACGTTCCTTTTTTTCGGTGTTCATGTTTTATGTTCTGATAATGGCATGATATAGTGACACAATAATATTTACATATGTTTTCAGCATAACTCTGAAGATATAAATGAAATATTGATGTATTGGGTTATTTAAATTTTTTTATAAAAAATAATGTTTAATTTTTTGTCTGCTGTGACGGAGCAGTTTCACAGTTCATATTTGGACTGCCCCGTCAAAGCGAACAAAAAAATTAAACATTATTTTTTATAAAATAAGACCCAATAAATCCAGATCTCAATAATACAGTCAGAGTTATGCTTAAAACATATGTAAATATTATCGTGTCACTATATCATGCCATTAAAAAGTTGAACAAGAAATGGTACATTTTAGAGTTTGATACTCTGGCGCCATTTTCAATAGCTTTCGTTCCTAGCATTATTGGAGTTCAAATAGAAGTGAAGGTTACCTGCAAATGATATATCCATTGCATGGAGTAGGTAATTTTCTTTGATATAAGGAAACATATGAGTTCAAAAATAAATTGTGGAGTATTCTTAATGTTTTTATGAAAAATAGCATGCTCTGTCACAGCGGAGAGATCTTTCGATACCAGCCTGTGTATTTGAGGGTTGGATTTCAAAATGGCCAACATGAAGTAGGTATTGAGACAAGAAAAATTCTTCCAGATCTGTATGTACTCAAAAGTTATCCCTAAAAATTAGAAAGTGTTATCTAGCAGTTTTGGAGAAACTGTCAGATGTACAGACAAACGGACCAACAAATGCACCTAGGCAGACAATATGGCCCCACACTATATGATGGGGACATAAAAAGTGTCTCACTTTATTGGGGACACTTGATAAAGATGTGTTAGTCTAAATAACATTGCAGGAATACCAATAAATGAAGTATGAATTTTAATTTAGTCCTTCACAACCTTGATCTTATTTAACACTCTCATCTTGTTCTTCTTTCAGTTTAGATTTTAAAATATGTTCCTGTCTTGCTTCCTCATGCCATCGCAGGGATCGTTTAACAACTGAGTCCCCAGCCTTAGCCGATTTACGCCCCCATATAATAAATCCTGCTGCAGCCAATACAGTTGCAATCATCATTCCGAAATTCACTTTGACTCTCATCTTGTCTTGTGCTCGTTTCATGGTTTTGTGACTGAAATTACAGAGAAAACATGATTTTGATTCAGTTATCTTTAAAAGAGGACATCATTTTACAAAGAATCTCCCATTTCATACTTTTATCATTCATTTTCAAGAGTGATCATTTATTAAGAGTCTAGAACTAGAAAACAGCAAATCCACAGAGTAGCGAATCCCACCAAACAAAACATATTTTGACAAGAACACAAATGTGTAAAATATGTCCCCACCAATGGGTGATCCTTAAAATTTAGCACAACTGCCCAAAGACTAGGTACATGTAGTTTGGGATTTTCATACAAAGAATAGTATACAAGACTAGACATCGACTGACCTTGAATGCCATGACTACAATTTATTATTCAATGATTTATTCTTACCTAAGCTATGGAAACATCTTATGGGGAAATGCCATAAAACTCATTCAGAAATTATTTATATTGCAAAAGAAATTCTTAAGAGTCATTACGTATTCTGATAGCTTTGCCCCTTCAGGTCCACTATTTCAGAAGCTAAAAATTTTAAACGTATTTGATATACATTCCCATCAAACAGCTAGCTTTGTACAAAAAACACTTTGTGAATCGCCTGATTTCCCTTTTAAAAAATTCAACCATCTTTTCTCATTAAGATCAACAATTCACTCACATGACACAAAATCAAAAAATGATTTGATTGTTCAACCATTTAGAACAGAATATGGAAGGAAATCAATTGGGACAAGTGGCCCATCAATTTATAACACGTTATCTTCTGATTTGAGAAACTCAGTTCATATTAAAATGTTTCAACGAAAGTTTAAGTTCAATTTGTTAAGCCATTATTAGTTATTTTGAACCATACTTCCACTATGTTACATCAAGATAAAAAAGTAGATCTATGCTTTGTAATTTATGTACACTACAATAACTGTTTTAACATTACATGCTTTGTATATAACACATTATATTTTTTCAAAACATGGAATCCATACACCCCCCGGGGTGTCCTTTTCATATCACTTGTAAATTTATATTGTATGAAAACTAGAATTGAATAATAAAAAATGAAATTGAATTGGATCATTCCTGGAAATTTGAAATCAAACTGTCAGGAAATCAACTTGCCAGGAAATGTGTAGACAAGACTTTACGGAGAGGATTTCAGGATGGCCACCTTAAAATTTACCCAGAATGCAGGAAAATAATCAGTTCCAAGATTTTCATACTAAGAAAACGCAGACAAGACTATACAGACAAGATTTTAAGATGGAAAATCCAAAATGGCTGCCTTAACATTTACCAAGAATGCCGAAAAACTAATTAGTTCTAGATTTTCATCTTATAAATGTTTCTTACATTGGAATGTAAGCAGTAATTAATACTAGATAACGGCAACTCCGCGGAGTAGCAAATCCCAACGAACAAAACCAGAACAACGGCAACGCCAAAGCGTAGCGAATCCCATCGAACATTTTTCAAAAGGGGCACCTTCTACCAAAAGTGTCATTAGACAGTGTGCCATGCTTATAATATTCACATACCAAATATGAACAAAATCGCTCAACTACATTTCGAGTTATAGTAAAATACGTTAAAATGGTGGCCATTTTGAAAAATGGCCGCCTTCAACCAAAAGTATCATTAGACAGTGTGCCATGCTTATAGTATTCACATACCAAATATGAACAAAATCGCTCCACTACTTTTCGAGTTATAGTAAAATACGTTAAAATGGCGGCCATTTTGAAAAATGGCCATCTTCTACCAAAAGTGTCATTAGACAGTGTGCCATGCTTATACATATTCACGTACCAAATATGAACAAAATCGCTCCACTACTTTTCGAGTTACAGTAAAATAAGTTAAAATGGCAGCCATTTTTCAAAATGTCCGCCATTTTTCAAAATGGCCACCTTCTACCAAAAGTGTCATTAGACAGTGTGCCATGCTTACAGTATTCACATACTGAATATGAACAAAATCGCTCCACTACTTTTCGAGTAATAGTAAAATATGTTAAAATGGCGGCCATTTTGAAAAATGACCGCCCTCTACCAAAAGTGTCATTAGACAGTATGCCATGCTTATACGTATTCACATACCAAATATGAACAAAATCGCTCCACTACTTTTCAAGTTTTAGTAAAATAAGTTAAAATGGCGGCCATTTTTCAAAATGTCCGCCATTTTTCAAAATGGCCACCTTCTACCAAAAGTGTCATTAGACAGTGTGCCATGCTTATAGTATTCACATACCAAATATGAACAAAATCGCTCCACTACTTTTCGAGTTACAGCAAAAATCGTAAAATAACGAGTAAAGGCCGCCATTTTTCAAGATGGCTGCCATGTGCTTTTTTAATATCTACATTTCTAGCTTTATTAATGTCCTATATAATTTTTTTTACATTTAAAACATATTGCTATTACAGTTTTACATATTGCACCTAAATTACTGTAAAATTGGCACTAAAATGGCTGCCATTTTTAAATGAGTGGCCATTTTGAAAATCGGCTTTCGAGCAGAACTTCTACCCCCATAGGGTATATGTGTACAAAATATGAATAAAATCGGGCCAACGATATTTGAGTTATTGCCCGGACGGACAGACGGACGTACGTACGGACGGACGGACGTACGTACGGACGGACGGACGTACGTACGGACGGACGGACGGACGGAGGCGTTCCCTATATCCCTCCGAACTTCGTTCGATGGGATAATAAAGAATTACTGAATTCCAATCAATTATACTCATTACTGGGGGTCAGAGTGAAAAACCCGGGATATATGTGAAATAGATAGATGTTGTTAATATACTACCAAAATTTCAAATAATAATATTTATTATTTTGGTTTAAAATGAAAAAACATAAGATTTTTGCGAAAATTCCCGCCATTTTTTTTACTGGTGGCCATCTTGAAAAAAATATTTTTTGCGTAAAACTGTTCACCAATATACATCTTTCCATACCCTGCGTGCAGAGTCTAGTTAAACACTGATTGGCGCGGTGAGTTCACAGGTTTATTTTAGTTTGAAAGAGTGAAGACGAAGCTCTCTTTTAAGAAGTAAAGTCAAACGAATATAAAGGGTAATCTTTCAACCAAATATGAAGAAAATCTGTCGACTAGTATTCGAGTTATCTTCCGGTCAGACGGACGGACGGACGGACTGACGGACAGACGGAGGGCTTCACTATATCCCTACAGAACTTCGTTTGTTGGGATAAAAATGTTTGACTGTATTTACAAAAGGCTTAGCTATCACTAATTACATTAATATAATAGATAGTGAATTTGTTCTCTTTAAAAATGGATTTAGGCATATAAATACAGTTAGTACGAGGATTGTATATAAACATATAATTGAAAAAATGTAAAATGGTCAATTGACCTTTTCCCATATAAATGGAAAATAGATGGCATCATGGGTATTGGTAGGGCTATAATACATGTAAATGTATTGCCAGAGTCACTTAATTTAAGAAGTAATTTCATTTTGATCAACTTTAAACACCATTTTAACGTAGATGATCCTATTGACATGTGGATTGTGATTTCACATTTAATTGTGATCCTTGTAAGAGTAAATGGACTTTTAAAGGTTTTTCAGCATTGTGTCAATGGGGATTTAGCCCGACCTTTTTTCGACAACTAGAAATCATTAGAATTTGAATAAATGTAAATAACAGTGCAAATCAAGGTTGTTTTGAAAGAAAATTACACAGAGAATTCAAATATGCCATCAAATGGAAGAAAATCTTAGTCTTCAGTGGTTAAAAATGCAGATCTCCTAAAATCTCATTTATTTAATAAAGGACCCACGGTCCTGTGCTCACACAGTTTGGAACCTTCAGAGGAATGTATATCCTAACTTTCAAACAAAAATATTGATTCGGATTTGTAGTCTCGAATTTGAGAAACTTAGATAGCACAGTTGTGTGACCTAGTTTGATGACCTTTGACCTTGAAAACTTTACTTATACAGAGCTTAGTAAGGTCTTTTGTGATTAAGCTGACCAAAATTTACATCCAAAAATCAATTTGAAAAATCAACTTTTTTGACCTTTTGAAGGTCACTGAAGGTCAAGCAAAGGTCACATCCTAAAACTAATGTCAATTTTGAACTCCTGACAACTTGTTCATGATTTTCAAAAAAAATTTGGTCAAATTGAAGCAAGTTGAAAAATAACTTATTTTTACTGTTTTTGACGTCAAATATTGATGCTAACATATATTGAGCAATATGTAGGGAATGCTTAAATCTCAGATTTTTCTCCCGGACAACCAGTTATGTCCTAATATAACTGCTCATATAACATCATATATGCCTTGGATATATTTTGAGACCATATCATGAGCACAGTTTTACCAATATATTGAGAAAATCAACAGGACAACCAAAGAAAAACCAAATGTCTAGAACACAATAAGTCTAAAACAACATACAGTTTTTTTTAGATGAATTTATATTGTAAAACCCTTTTAAGTTTTTAAAGTAACATTCTCAAAGGATAAAAATGTGTTGTGATAAAAAAAGAAAAAAAGATTGGCCAAGCCGGGAATCGAACCCCAACCTTTTGGACAAAACAGAGGACAGAAGTCCAACGCGCCATCCACTGTGCCACACGATCACTGCATGTAAGTTGGTCAAATTTTACAACAATATAAATAATTGAAAAAAGTAATATAAGCGTGCAGGACACCTGAAATTATATGTAAAGCTAGGAAATGGGCCAAAAGTGAATTTCACGACACAAAAATGGTGGCCATTTTTAAAATAGGCGAGCTTTTGAACCAGGAGTCATAGGGGAGTTTTTTGTATTGATGTTGAACAAAAATAATTTACAACTGGAATCCTATCGACAGAGGTTTTAACGCAAATGATCCAAAGAGGATTTCGTGAGGCAGATGGACAAATCAATGTTAACTATAACTAAAATGGCTGAAAATGAAAAAACGGATATAATTATTGCCGATTTTTTGTTACAAAACTAGAAAAACAACTCCACGGAGTAGCAAATCCCACCGAACAAAACATGTTTTGATAAAAAAAATTGAGCCAATTTCATCCACTGGTATTTGAATTATCAAAGATTATGTCTTTATGAAACATGGTTGCCATTTTGAAATTCAGCTGTCATCTTTAGATTTCTTCTTTAGCAGAGAATGTCCGTCCAATGGTATCTGGGTTATCAAAGGTTATCAAACAGTGGAGACGATGGGCTCGATTGCCGTATCATACTGCATTTGAACGGCGATACGGCAATTGCCGTATAGAACGTCATTATTTGTAATAACGGTTATCTTTTAAAAATCTAAACAATTCCAGACTTCAAATTCATATTAAATTATATAACATCCATAGTAAGTACAATATTAAAGTTTATCCCACGATTAATGTGTTATCTGTACAATAACAGCTATTGATATTTCTGATATTATTGAAATCCGTGTGATATTTTCCAGAAAATCGTTTATCAAACTCATATGCGTGTGATATCGTTTATCTCACGCATATCCGTGTGATATCACATTTGCATTTCGCGCCACAATATTGTTGGAAATTAGGTCAGATAATTTATTCTCTTTTGAGAAAATAGGTCCGTTAATTTATTCTCTTTAGTTTCATTGGTGTATTGAATTACGATTGTGTATATAATTTGATTGGAAGGCTGCTTATAATAACGATTAAAAAATGGTATTTATGACAAACTATATCATGTACAGAAAGTAGTGCATATTACTGCGCAGTGGTCGGTGCAAATTCGTCTGAAGAAGAATTGGCGAATTTCTAGTTTATATTGTCTGCCAATGTCCTGGAAATTGGATCAGAGCAAAAGGACTGTGATTGTGATCATGGGATAAACCCAATATCACATAATTTCTCGTGATATCATTTTATCGCCTCGTAGATATCAAATATCAACACTCATTCGCTTCGCTCACTCGTGTTGATATTTGATATCAACTCGGTGATAAAAATGATATCACTCAAAATGATGTGATATTCTGTATATTTTCCATAAATAGGGGGTTTAAATTTAATGACATGAAATATTTTGTCCTAGATATCGTTTATTTCTACTCCAGTGCACAAGGGCCGATTACAGCATGAAATCCCTGAAATTGTGAAATTACAACAGACCCTCCTTGTACTTATTTTCGGCAATATTAAATAAAGAGATGGCATCAATTTTTTAATTCATATTAGAAGAACATATATAAAATAAACTTTTCCTCGCGTGCATTTAAATTCTGCCGTGTGCAATTACTCCCGTGGGTTCTCAAAGTTTCACTTATTTTAGGCAAAAGACAAAAACGTACTTTGGGGGTTTAGGTGCTCTTCAGACATTCCAGAGGCGAGAATAACATGAAACCAGACAGGTTTTAATTTTGATTTTATCGTTTTTATAAATAACATCGTCTTCCTGCATGCATTTTGGGTTTGATTCATCCTTTACACTGACGTAAAGTCATACTAGATCGCGTTCAGAGTACTAAGTACCGTTCGCATTACTACTGTTCTCAGACGGACAATGCTGCCTGGATAATTTCGTCCAGCAACCAATTCGCCCAGAAACAAAACCAAGAGACGTATGTAGCAAGTTCCATTTCTAGAAACTCAGTTTAGAGTCGGGAAAGTGACTTGAGAATGCAGGAAAACTGACCAATCAGAATGCCCGATTCCTCAGTATTTCTAAAGTGAATCTTCGATATTGGAGAAACTTTTCACGTTCGAATTCCACCTGTCTATTGCACGTGGATCGCTTCAAAAGTGATACAATCGGGAAGCTGGTTTTGTCAGCTTCACTATGACATTATGCTTTTAGAAATCGACCGAGAAATGGCGGAGAAAAAGACCGAAAAGTGTCATTTCTAAAACGGCGAGTTTGGAGAGCTAAAGTGGATTGGGACTGCAAGAAAGCCGGCCAATCAGAACGCAGGATTTCTTATGTGAAACTTGGAATTCGAGAAATCGCCTTTACTTTCTATTTCCTCAGTTTTCTCGCAATTTGGTCACTACAAAGTGGAACCATCAGAAAGCTTTAGTTCCGAGCATAACCATGGTCTTATTTATTTCGAAATCTGTCCACTAATAGCAGAGTTATAGACTAATAAATGCCATTTTTTAAACAGCCAGTTTAGAGCCAGAAAGTGGATTCAGACTGCAACAACGTTATGCAAATTAGCTAGACGTGTCTAGGTTAGTAGCACACGTATGTGGGTAAGTAGGTTTGCTCTGTCAAGGCCGCGCATGTATCAATATATAAGCAGATCTCGGCCGTTTCAGCATACTTCATACAGGTATGAATCGTTGCGTGTACTTTCACGGAATCCACGCAGATTGAAAAATGTTGATACATATTTGATCATTTCCATTTACTAGTATTAAATTATATTACAGCGGAAATATTACATTTTGCATCGGAAAACCTACTTACTTCAACCTGAGACTAACATAATCAGATAAAAGGAATTTTAAACTTTATCCGAGAGTTGTATCTCCCGTGTCGCGGCACCCGCAATTAGATATGTATAGTCTCAGCTTCAACATAGGAGGAGGAAAGACATGTACATCATACAAACTTCATTCAAATACACACAGTAATAAACTCATAATTATAAAGAAATTCTTGAAACCTTTATTGCAATTGCAAATGCGCAAAGAAGACTTTATTTCATGTATTTGGTTCCGTAATACTTGTCAAACTATAGGCCTTCATGCACATTAGACTGCCAAGAACGTTTTTATAGCGATCTACCACGGGCAATAGATCTACTACTAAGTTTTGTTTTTTCGTGGATAATGACAAATATTCCATTTCCCTTCCCTTCCCATTTCCCAAGGAAAAATCTTTTTAACTGAATCTCACAGATTTCATATCGCAAATAAACAGTATCGCATAATATAATCGACAATGTTTTGATTAAATATACTGGCCATACTAACTGACTAATAATTGATATATCTTGTCTTGGTTCAGTCTATTTTAGTAATTAAAAATCAGTGATTTAAATGCTATACCTAATTTTGAATATTGTTTATCCAAAGTAAAATTGGTTGTGAATAGAAATAAAAATGTATTTCAAAGTTTCAGTGTTAAGCGCAGTATTGATTATATTTAAGTATTGCACTACGCTGGAGCCTAGAAAGTATAAAAATGACTTTTTAATTTAAACCAGCGTAAAATTGAATTTCGAATTATAATATTTGCTTGAGTCGTGTTAATAGACCTTCCAGGGCTTTTGTATTTGGGCGATAATAAAAAATAAATACTCTTAATAAAATTGACGCACGATACCGCAATTGCCGTATTATGCTTTAATAGCGCTGAGTTGCTAGACATGCGCGTTTGGAATTAAAATAAGACGAATTGCCGTATCGTCGTTTAATTGCAATATGATACGGCAATTGAGCCCATCGTCTCCACTGTCAAAGATGGCAGCCATTTTGAAATTCAGCTATCGCCTTTGAAATTTCTTCTGAAGCAGATCTCCTTTTTTCCTAAACATCAGCATATAAAATTGGAACCAAATCCATCCACTAGTATTTAAGTTATCATTAATTACGTTTTTTTACGAAAAATGGCGGCCATTTTGAAATTCAGTGGCCATCTTGAAAATTTATTTTTGAGCAGAACTTCTTTGTCTCTAGGCATCAGCATATAGAATTTGAACCAAATCCGTCAACTGGTATTTGAGTTATCAAAGGTTACGTTCTTTTATGAAAAATGGCGGCCATTTTGAAATTTAGCTACCACGTTGAAAATCCCTTCTCAAGCAGAGCTCCTATGTCCCTAGGCATCATCATGTAAAATTTGAACCAAATCCATTCAACGGTAATTGAGTTATCAAAGATAATGTTTTTTATGAAAAATGGCCGCCATTTTAAAATTTAGTTGCCATCTTGAAAATCCTTTCTTGAGCAGAGCTCCTATGTCCCTAGGCATCAGCATCTAAAATTTAAACCAAATCCAATCAATGGTATTTGAGTTATCAAAGATAACGTTTTTTTATGAAAAATGGCCGCCATTTTGAAATTTAGCTGCCATCTTGAAAATCTTTTCTCGAGCAGAGCTCCTATGTCCCTAGGCATCAGCATCTTAAATTTGAACCAAATCCATTTAATGGTCTTTGAGTTATCAAAGATAACGTTTTTTTTACGAAAAATGGCCGCCATTTTGAAATTTGGTGGCCATCTTAAAAATGACTTCTTGAGCAAGGCTCCTTTGTACCAAGGCAACAGCATATAAAATTTGAACCGAATCCATTCACTAGTATTTGAGTTATTAAAGATTATATTTTTTCCGAAAAATGGCCGCCATTTTGGATTAAGCGGCCATATTGAAAATTCCTTCTCGAGCAGAGGTCCTACACCCATAAGGCATAAGTCTATAAAATTTGAATGACATCCGTCAACGGGTATTTGAGTTATTGCCCGGACACACGAACGGACGGACGATGTTGATGTCTAGGGAAAAAGGAGATCTGCTTAACAAGAAATTTCAAAGCATCAGCTGAATTTCAAAATGGCTGCCATTTTTCATAAAACGCTAATCTTTGATAACTCAAATACCAGTGGATGGATTTACTTCAAATTTTAAATACTGATGCCTAGATATAAAGGAGCTTTATTAAAGTTTTCCAGTTTAATCAAAATTGACCAAAAGACATCCTCCTAGACATGTTTCAAAATAGTTATCACACATTTCAAATTATGTGATGCAGGAATTTGCTTTCGTTGATTATCCTTTCATGGAAAATTTCCTGTATGACTGTATACCTACACATGACTGGACAGTTATATAATAGTAAGGAAATATCCAAGTAGAAGGAACACAGACTCGATGCAAAACTAGGTTGATTTGACTAGTGTGCTTATGAATCGGGTCAACCCTAACCTTAACAAAGATTTCTTAACCTAAAACAGAAGAATATCCGCCCTACCTGACATTGGTTGGTATATCCTTATCAGATTTATATGTTCCCGACCAGACAAGCACTTTTCTGTTAAAACTGGTCAGATGTCTTGCATCAGATTCTGAAAAAATTGAAAAAGCTTTAAAATAACTGAAATAGAAATGAGTGTTCAAAAAATTTATTATGACATTAACCCTGGGCATTAACATGGGCCACTTATTAGGGTCAATATTCAATCATGAAGTGTAGAGGCGTAGATGCTAAATCAGCTAAACATTTTGTATCTGTCAAAATCCATTTTCATTCTACTTCATCAATGAAATATAATAGTATAATCTTTGGATTTACAAAGTTGTATGACATTTGATAATAATAATACAGGGTTTGCACACCATCGACTATGATCTATGATCTATTGAGGATGTGACATTTAATAATGTTTTATTCAGTTTTCGTTTTGCAAATAAAAAATAAATATTTAATTAAACCTGGCCTTATTATTATTCTGTGTTTATCTTTACTGCTTCCATAAAATCAACCTCCGATCACAGGGCTTCAAAATCCAGAATATATTCTTTCTTTTTACCCCCTGCGATAAGCAGTTAGCATTTCCCCGATTAAGAACTCGCAATCTGATTGGCTGTCGCAACACGGCAACAGAAATCATGTCTAATTCATTGCGCATAATAAGATCACGTGATTCAGTTTAATCGGGAGCTTCCAAATTGGTTATAGCAGGGGGAGGAAGGAGGTACGGATTCTGGACCCTTGCGTAGGAGGATGCCATAAAATAGGCCAGATAATATGATGCTGGATAAAAGATATGATATATGCAGTAAGGAATCATTTCAAATTATATACGTCATGGAACAATTGGATGTATTTGAACAGTCATGGGAGGGGCTGGCATTTAGCATTTAAGTAAGCCTTTTGTTAACGTTCCCGGGAATTATCAATGCTTGCTTTTCGTCCAGTGCATATTAATAAGGACAATTCAATTATTCTTTTTCAAGCAGAAATTCTATCAATATTGAAACATGTTATACCCTTGACAGTAATAAACATGGTACCAGGCCAACGATTTATCAGGGTTCTGGTATCAAGCACAGGTATAAAGATTCTACCTACTCGATTGAATGTTAGTGCCAATGACAAATTGACACTCAATCTAAAAAATCTACCATGGACTTTCCAATCTCCCTCGAATCGAGAATAACATTACATACATGTAGATAATACTTTTATCCTCTAATTCTACTATTTTGTCTAATAAAGGCCATCTAACCTTTGACAACCAGAACAACGGCAACGCCAATGCGTAGCAAATCCCATCGAACAGAAATGGCTGGCATTTTTACAAACGAATAGCAAATATCATAAAACAACACACCAGAAAGGCCACCATTTTCAAAATGGTTGATCACTAGCCAAGTTGTCATCAGAAGAAAAAATATACTTTTAAGTAGCCACCTCTAAAATCTTTGAAAAATCGCACACGTACTTGTAAAATAACACACATAAAAATGGTGGCCATTTTTCAAAATGGCCGACTACTCCCCAAAGTTGTATTAGACAATGTGCCATGCTTAAAGCATTCACATATCAAATATGAACAAAATCGCTCCACTACTTTTCGAGTTATAGTAAAATACGTTAAAATGGCGGCCATTTTTCAAAATGGCCACCTTCTTCTACCAAAAGTGTCATTAGAAATAGACAGTGTGCCATGCTTATAGTATTCACATACCAAATATGAACAAAATTGCTCCACTACTTTTCGAGTTATAGTAAAATACGTTAAAATGGCGACCATTTTTCAAAATTTTTTTCAAAATGGCTGCCTTCTACCAAAAGTGTCATAGGAGTGTGCCATGCTTATAGTATTCACATACCAAATATGAACAAAATCGCTCCACTACTTTTCGAGTTATAGAAAAAAACGTTAAAATGGTGGCCATTTTTCAATTTTTTTTCAAAATGGCCACCTTCTACCAAAAGTGCCATAGGACAACAATACTTTTCGAGTTATAGTAAAATATGTTAAAATGGCGGCCATTTTTCAAAATTGCCGCCTTCTACCAAAAGTGTCTTTAGACAGTGTGCAATGCTTATAGTATTCACATACCAAATATGAACAAAATCGCTCCACTATTTTTTGAGTTATAGCAAAAATCATAAATTGACTAGTAAAGGCCGCCATTTTTCAAGATGGCTACCATGTGCTTCTTTAATATCAACATTTGTAGCATTGTTAATGTCCTTTATGATTTTTTTACATTTAAAACATATTGCTATTACAGTTTTACATATTGCACCTAAATTACTGTAAAATTGGCACTAAAATGGCCGCCATTTTGAAATGAGCGGCCATTTTGAAAATCGGCTTTCGAGCAGAACTTCTACTCCCATAGGGTATATGTGTACAAAATATGAACAACATCGGGCCAACGGTATTTGAGTTATTGCCCGGACGGACGGACGGGCGGACGGACGGACATACGGACGGACGGAGGCGTTCCCTATATCCCTCCGAACTTCGTTCAATGGGATAATAACAAGTTAAGGCCAGTAAAACTACCAAAAGACACTTGAGTATTATATAACACATCGAAAAAAGTTAGAGTCCAAGAAAGTTACGAAAAACAGCCAAAGTGACGCTTTTTGCAAAATGCCTACCTAAAAATTCTCAACGATCGATGGTGGAAAAGTTCTAGCTTAAAAAAGTAACGGATATCGACCAAAGTTACCCTTTTGAAAATTCCTGGCTAAAATGTTCAACACTTGGAGGAATACAGTTAAAAGTAACGTTAAGTGGCCGAATATAAGTGGCCAAAGAAACTGTTTTGAAAAAGCCTACTGATAAAATTCATCCATTCTGCGTGGAGAAAAGTTTAAGTCCAAGAAAGTTACTGAAAATGGCCAAAGTAACGCTTTTTGAAAATGCCTATCTAAAATTCCTCAACGATCGATAGGGTAAAAGTTAGAGTATAAGAAAGTTACGGAAACGGGTCAAAGTTACCCTTTTTGAAAATGCCTGGCTAAAATGTTCAACACCGTGGCTTGAAGGAAAAGAAAAAAAGTTAAACTCTAATAACGTTATGTTTTTAAGGCAATGTAACGTGTTTTGAAAATAGCTACTTGAAAATTCATCCATTCTTCGTGGAGAAAAGTTAAAGTTTGATAAAGTTACGTTTTTAAGGCAAAGCAACGTGTTTTGAAAATGCCTTAATCAAAAATCAGCTATTCTACGTGAAGAAAAGTTAAGCTCTCATAAAGTTTCTTCTAACTAAAGTTACGTTTTTAAGGCAAAGTAACGTATTTTGAAAATGGCTAGATAAAAATTCATCAATTGTTCATGTAGAAATGTCAAAGTCCCATAAAGTTATGTTTTTAAGGCAAAGAAACTTGTTTTGAAAATGCCTACATCAAAAATCAGCCATTCTACGTGAAGAAAAGTTAAACTCTAATAACGTTATGTTTTTAAGGCAATGTAACGTGTTTTGAAAATAGCTACTTGAAAATTCATCCATTCTTCGTGGAGAAAAGTTAAAGTTTGATAAAGTTACGTTTTTAAGGCAAAACAACGTGTTTTGAAAATGCCTTAATCAAAAATCAGCTATTCTACGTGAAGAAAAGTTAAGCTTTCATAAAGTTTCTTCTAACTAAAGTTACGTTTTTAAGGCAAAGTAACGTATTTTGAAAATGGCTAGATAAAAATTCATCAATTGTTCATGTAGAAATGTCAAAGTCCCATAAAGTTATGTTTTTAAGGCAAAGAAACTTGTTTTGAAAATGCCTACATCAAAAATCAGCCATTCTACGTGAAGAAAAGTTAAACTCTAATAACGTTATGTTTTTAAGGCAATGTAACGTGTTTTGAAAATAGCTACTTGAAAATTCATCCATTCTTCGTGGAGAAAAGTTAAAGTTTGATAAAGTTACGTTTTTAAGGCAAAGCAACGTGTTTTGAAAATGCCTTAATCAAAAATCAGCTATTCTACGTGAAGAAAAGTTAAGCTCTCATAAAGTTTCTTTTTTAAGGCAAAGTAACATGTTTTGAAAATGCCAACATGAAGTTAAAAGAGCCATATCAAAGTCCAATAAAGTTACATTTTACGGTAGGTTTAAAAAAACGGGAGTTTTTGCGGTAGATTTAAAAAAAAACGGGAGTTTTTATGGTAGATTTCTGAAAAAACAGGAGTTTTTACGGTAGATTTCTGAAAAAACTGGAGTTTTTACGGTAGATTCTGAAAAAACGGGAGTTTTAACTGTAGCTTCTAAAAAAAACGGGAGCTTTTACGGTAGATTTCGGAAAAAAAGGGAGTTTTTACGGTCGATTTCTGAAAAAACAGGAGTTTTTACGGTAGATTTTGAAAAAACTGGAGTTTTACGGTAGATTTCTGAAAAAACGGGAGTTTTTACTTTAGATTTTGAAAAACTGGAGTTTTTACGGTAGATTTATGAGCATTAAATCCAGCGATTTAATTGGTTGAAATTATGACGCATGCGCAGTTAATAAATTAATTAGAACTTATAATCTAAGATAGATGTCACTTACGTTCATTATTTCACAGCAGTCCCTACCAATAATGCGCCTTATATTGCGGGAATATTTTGTTTAGCGCCATATAAAAACAAAATGTATTCTCCCGACAGAAGTATGACAGAATATGAACTGGCCCCCGTTTGTGGACATTTGGTTTGCAAACTTATACCGAACTGATCGCAGAAAAGCAATTTGAATCAAGGGAATGAAGTACTTTTAAGTTATTTATGAAAGTATCGATAGTGAACCATGGGAGCCAACCTTCTTGGAGTAAAAGAAAGAAGCGTGCCTGCAATAATCAAGGTCACAAATTTGTCAAATTCCTTTTAAATACGGTAGATTTCGACAGCAAAAAAACTGAGATTTTACGGGAGTTATACCAAGAATACGGGAGATTTTACGGGAGTTATACCAGAAAACGGGAGATTTTACGGGAGTTATACCAAGAATACGGGAGATTTTACGGGAGTTACACCAGAATACGGGAGATTTCAGCAAAAATACGGGAGATTTTACAGCCATATTTTTTAAAAAAATTACGGGAGATTTTAGTAGAAATACGGTACGGGAGTTTT